GCTGGAGAAGGATGTAGAACAAAATTCTAACACACAAAAAAAGACCAGATTTACTGGCCTGACAGAGACTGGAGAAACCCCGAGAGTATGGCCCCGTACAACCTTTTAGCTCAGTGGTGAAGCCACTCCCGAGGTTCACTGTTCAGCTGGGGATTGGACAGCCCCATAAAACAAAATGGGACTAATGAGGCACAGCAGTCCAGAGACAAGGACTAGAAGGGAGAAGGGGACAGGAAAGCTGGTGATTGGGAACCCAAGTTTGAGTAAGGACAGTGTTGACATGTAGTGGGGTTGTTAACCATTGTCAAAGGGCAACATGTATACTAACTGTTTAATGAGAAACTATTTTGTCCTGTAAACCTTCATCTAAAGTGAGAATAGCAGCCCAACTGGAAGAACGTAATCGATGTAAATCGTACATGTAGAAATTTTTGAAATGGTATCTTTGGCTATGTATATTTTCACCAAAAAAAAAAGGATCCTCCAAGGCCAAGAAGGGAGCGTGTTGACATGTCATGGGGTTGTTAACCAATGTCGTAAAACAATATGTGTACTGACTGTTTAATGAGAAAATATTTCCTCTGTAAACCTTCATCTAAAGTACAATTAAAAAAAAAAAAAAGATTTAGGGGGTCTCCACTCTCCAAATCACAGGAAATAGAAGAGGATCATAGAGTATTCTAACGTAAAAAATCTTTAGACATCATCTGGTCGATCTAGATAATAGGGGTCCCTGGGTAGCGCCAACAGTTAAGCACTCTACTACCAGCCTAAAAGTTTGCAGTTGGAACCCACGCAGAGGCTCCTTGTAGGACAGCCTTGAAAAGCCTGTTGGGCAGTTCTGTTCTGCACACGTCGCCATGAATTGGAATCACTCCATGGCAACTAACAATAACACCTTCGATAACAGATGAGCAAAGCAACAATTCTAAATCATACATTCTAGTAAGTAGAGGAATTTAACTCTGGGATACCAATGTGAAGTCTAGTGTTTTTCCAGTGTAAAATGTTCAAAGAGATGCCAGAGAGAGATCAGTTTGACTTGCAGGGTGGATTAGTGGTGGAGAAACAGCACAGGTGAGAGTAATACGTTGCTGGACAGGTTTGAGATGATGAGAACTTTACCAAGGCTTGTGGCAGTGGGACTAGAATATGGAAAAAAAAAAGTTCTCTCTTTTGGACAGAAGGGAGGCTGGGTGTCTTGGGGAATGGAAAAACCATGAAAAGAAATAGGGAAAGGATATGAAGGAGAGTTAGTTTATGGTTGACAGAGGGAAAAGGTGATAGATTTGGAATAAAGAATGTGACCTCCTTGTTGTGTAAACTGTTTTAGTTGGATGCCGACAAATACGAGAATGATCCAGAGTTAGAAAAGATCCGAAGAGAGAGAAACTACTCCTGGATGGACATAATAACAATATGCAAAGATAAACTACCAAATTATGAAGAAAAGGTAAGGGAGCTCTCAATTATTTGGAAGCAGAAAATTACTTTATCTCCTTCTAATAAATGCATGACTGTATTTCTTTCTTTCTTCCTTCCCTTCCCTTCCTTTCTTTCCTTCATGTCTTTATCTGAATTTTATTTCAGGGTAATGCTGACCTCATAGAATGAGTTTGGAAGTATTCCTTCTTTTTTAATATTTTGGAAGAAATTGGTGTTATTTCTTCCTTAAATGTTTTGTAGCTTCACCAATGAAGCTCTCTGGGCTTGGAGTTTTTATTTGTGGGAAGGATTTTAACTATGAATTCAATTTCTTTAATATACATAAAAACCCGAAACCAAACATATTGCCTTTGAATCCATTCCAACTCACAGCGACCCTACAGGACAGAGTAGAACTGCTCCATAGGATTTCCAAGGAGCAGCTGGTAGATTTGAACTGCCGACCTTTTGGTTAGCAGCTGTAGCACACCTTACCTCTTAAGCACTGTTGATTGATAGTGCTGTTCAAATCTTCTATATTCTTACTGATGTCTGTCTGCTTGTTCTAACAATTATTGAGAGAAGCATACTGAAATCTCTTACTGTAATTGTGGCTTTCTCTATGCATTCATATCATTTTTCCTTCATGTCTTTTTGAAGCTCTGTTATTAGGTACATAGTATTTAGGATTGTTACCTACTCTTGATGAATTGAACCCTTTATCATTATGAAATTACCTTCATGATCCCCGACAACATTCTTTGCTCTAAAATCTACTTAGTTTGGTATTAATATACTCATTCCAGCTTTTCTTTTTGACAAGTGTTAGCATGGTATATTTTTTCCCATCCTTTTAACGTATTTGTGTCTATATTTAAAGTATATTTCTTGTTAGAAAAGGTATAGTTGGGTCTTGTTTTTTTAAAATCCAAACTGAAAATCTCTGCCTTTTATTAGAGGCATTTAGACTATTTACTACTTCTCCCATCTCTTCCCCCCACCCCTTTTTTTGATTTCTTATGGATTAATTTAGTATTTTTTATGATGCCATTTTATTTTTCTCTGTTGGCTTATTTGCTGTAACTCTTTGTTATTTTTGTGGTAGTTTTGAGGTTATGTTATGCATCTTTGACTTATTTCTTCCTTCCCAATCTGGTACGTTTTATTTCCTTTTATTGTCGTACTGCACGTGCTAGGACTTCTAGTACAGTGTTGAATAGGAGTGGTGAGAGGGGACATCCTTGTCTAGTTCTCAATCTTAGGGGAAAAACATCTAGTTTCTCCCCATTCAGTATAAATTGAGGAAGTGTCCTTTATTTCTAGATGGCGGAGAGTTCTTATCATGAATGGATGTTGGATTTTGTCAAATGTTTTTTTCTGCATTAACTGATCATATGATTTTTCTTCTTTAGCCTTTTAATATGGTGGATTATACTAATTTATTTTTGAATGTTGAAACAGCCTTGCATACCTAGAATAAGTCTTACTTGGTTATGATGTATATTTCTTTTTGTACATTTTTCGATTTGATACGTTAATTTTTTGAGGATTTTAGCATTTATGTTTGTGAAAGATACTGGTCTGTAGTTTTCTCTTCTTGTAATGTCTTTGTCTGGTTTTGATATTAGGGTAATGTTGGTCTCATAGAATGAGTTAAGAAGTGTTCCCTCTGCTTCTATTTTCTAGAAGAGGTTATAGAGAATTGGTATAATTTCTTCCTTAAATGCTTGATAGAATTCACCAATGAAACCATCTGGGCCTGTTGCTTTCTTTTTTTGGAAGATTATTAATTATTGATTCAGTTTCGTTAATAGATATAGTACTATTCAGATTATTCATTTTTCCTTGTGTGAGTTTTGCTAGTTTATGTTTTTCAAGGAATTTCATCTAAGTTATCAAATTTGTGGGCATAAAGTTACTTATAATTTGCTTTATTATCTTTTTTTTTAAATTGTATTTTAGATGAAGGTTTACAGAACAAACTAGCGTCTCATTAAACAGTTAGTACACATATTGTTTTATGACATTGGTTAACAACCCCACAACATGTCAACACTCTCTCTTCTCAACCTTGGGTTCCCTATTACCAGCTTTCTTGTTCCCTGCTGCCTTCTAGTCCTTGTCCCGGGGCTGGTGTGCCCCTTTAGTCTCATTTTGTTTTACGGGCCTGTCTAATCTTTGGCTGAAGGGTGAACCTGGGGAGTGACTTCATTACTGAGCTAAGAGGGTGTCCGGGGGCCATACTCTCGGGGTTTCTCCAGTCTCTGCCAGGCCTGTAAGTCTGGTCTCTTTTTGTGAGTTAGAATTTCGTTCTACATTTTTCTCCAGCTCTGTCTTGGACCCTCTATTGTGATCCTGGTCAGAGCAGTCAGTGGTGGTAGCCGGGCACCATCTGGTTGTACTGGACTGAGTCTGGTGGAGGCCATGGTAGTTGTGACTTTATTATCTTTTTAATGTCTGTGGGATCAGTAGTGATAACCCTTCTTTCATTTCTTATGTTAGTAATTTTTGTCTTCTTTTTTTTCTTGGTTATCCTGGTTAAAGTTTTATCAGCTTAACTGATCTTTTCAAAGAAATATCTTTCACTGATTTTTCTCTGTTGATTTCCTGTTTTCAGTTTCATTGGTTTCTGCTTTTATTTTTTTCCTGCTTGCTTTAGGCTTAAATTGCTCTTCTTTAGTTTCCTGAGATAAAACTTACGTTACTGATTTTAGGTCTATTTTCTTTTCTAATACATATGTTACGAAGGTGTGCTACCTCTGCACTTCCCATGTGGGCTGCATAAGCAGAGGCCTTGGGTCTGGAACATTCTCTGATAAGGAGGCTGGGAACTGGATCTCTGTCTCTGAATTTCTTCCCCTTATCAGGGAAGCCTCCTCCCTGTTCTGGGCCTGCAGTAACTTTTTCTGTCCTGCTCCTGTGTGGGCACCATGTGGCACCTGGCGAGCCTCACTTCTGTACCTGTTCCTGGTGGGGAGTCTTATTGCGGCCCAAGAAGGGCGCACACATAACACCTGTCCTGCACTGGCTGCGGGAGATGACTCACTGGCCATGGAGGATCAGCGCCTGCTCAAAGCTGACCTTTCCCTGTCTCTTCTCTATGTGAGTAAAGCGTTGTTCCACTGTTTGTGTTTGTTGGTGGTGACTCCTAACCCTGGCATGACAATGTACATTCAGTGCTATAAGTTTTACTCTGAGCGCTGCTTTTGCTACATCCCACAAATTTTTATAAGTTGTATTTTTATTTAGTTAAAATATCTTTAATTCCACTTGAGATTTCTTCTTTGACCCATGTTATTTGGAGGTATGCTGTTTAATCTTCAAATATTTTAGAATGTTCTGCCTATTTTTCTGTTATTGATACCTAGTTTAATTTCACTGAGATCTGAGAACATACTTTGTATGATTTTTTATTCTTTTAAATTTGTTAAGATGTGTTTTATAGCCCAGAATGTGACCCATCTTGGTGAATGTTCCTCGTGAGCTTGAGAAGAATGTATATTCTGCTACACTTGGATGAAGTATTCTATAAATCTCAGTTAGACCCAGTGGATTTTCTGCCTGCTGAATTAATCAATGACTGATAGAGGGGTGTTGAAGTCTTCAACTTTAATGGTAGATTTGTCTTTTTCTGTTTGTAGTTCTGTAAGTTTTTGTTGTTCACATATTTTGACACTCTGTTGTTGGGTGCATATACGTTAAAGCTTGTTATGTCTTGATGAATTGGCTACTTTTATTTTTTATTTAATGCCTCTCTTTATCGCAGATAATTTTTCTTTTGCTTAAGTTTGCTTTGGCTGAGATTAATATAGCTACTCCAACTTACTGTTGATTACCATTAGCATGGTATATTTCTCCATCCCTTTACTTTTAACCTATTTGTGTCTTTATATTTAAAGTGAGTTTCTTGCAAACAACATATACTTGGGTCTTGTTTTTTTTATCTACTCTGTCAGTCTCTGTCCTTTAATTGTTGAATTTAGCTCATCCATGTTTAACTTGACTATTGATATAGTGGAGCACTGGTGGCGAAGTGGTTAAGTGGTCAGCTGCTAACCAAAAGGTTGGCAGTTCGAATCCACCAGCCACTCCTTTGAAACCCTATGGGGCAGTTCTTCTCTGTCCTATAGGGTCACTGTGAGTCAGAATCGACACAATGACAACGGGTTTTATTGATATAGTGAGATTAATATCTACCATGTTTGTAACTTTTCTGTTTGTTGCACTTGTTGTTTCTTTCTTCTGTATTTTCTTTTTCTTCCATCTTTGTTTTTATTTGAACATTGTTGTGATTCAATTTTCTCTCTCCTCTTAGCTTGTGAATTTTACTTATCGTGAAAAAATTTTAGTGGTTTCCCTAGAATTTGCAATATACATTTACAAGTAACCTAAGTCCACTTTCAAATAACAGTATACCACTTAATGGGTAGTATAGGTATTTTGTAACTGAGTATTCCCAGTTTCTTCTTCCTGTCCCTAATAACGGTTCATTTATCCATGTGCTATAATCAATCAATATATTGTTACTCTTACTACTTTGAACAAATAGTTGTCTATGAGATCAATTCAGAATAAGAAAAACAATAGATCTTATTTTACCTTCATTAATTTTTTTCTCTGACTCACTTCCTTTCTTTAAATAGATCTGAATTTCAGACATTTATTGTTTTCCTTCTCTCTGAGAAACTTCTTATAACATTTCTTGCAGGGCAGGTATACTGGTGACAAATCCCCTCAGTTTTTGTTTGAGAAGGTATTTCTCTTTGCTTTTGAAGGATAATTTCACTAGATAAAGAATTCTAGATTGGTGGGTTTTATTTTGAAAAAACTAAAATATTTTACTCTACTCTTGTCTTTTTTGCATGATTTCTGAAGAGAAATTTAATGTAATTCTTACCTTTGTTCTTCTATAGGTAAGGTAGGTTTTTTTCCTGACTTCTTTCGAGATTTTCTCTTTGTCTTTCATTTTCTGCAATTTGAATATGAAGTTCCTAGGTGTAGATTTTTTTTGATATTTATCCCACTTGG